AAGAAAAGATTGTATATGACAATTAAAGATAATCATTATTTTAATCTGTACTAACTTCACATCGTATGTAAATTGTAAACTATGTATGAACAGTCACATGTGAAATAAAACTTCACACAAATTCACAAATGATAATTTAAACAATGTCTTTGAGTTTTCTTTAGTTTTATATAACTTTAATGCATAAGTCTTATTCATTAAAGTTATATAAAAATAAGGAAACGATGTTGGTCCATTCTTAACGTCAACAATTAGTGTAAACCTAGTAAATAAATATTGATCTTAGTAAAACGTAGATTTTAATATGGGATGAGCGTCACCCATCACGATCAAAAACCATTCAAATTTCCAATCTAAAATACACATCCGTTTAACGACCGATTATTACTCTTTACAACACTGTTACATGGTAACTGATCAGAGCTATATCTTCCATTATACCTTGATGACTGACCAGTGATATCTTCACCAATATGTCATACTAACTGATCAGAGTTATATCTACCATTATACCTTGATGACCGACCAGTGATATCTTCAGGTCTATTCCTAGCATTATCATTATCATTATCATTATACCACAATGGATAATACGAAGTGATAGTGAGTTTTGTATTGATAAATTTACCTTAAATATCTATATACATACCATTATACTGTATCATTTTATTTATGTGGTATTTGTATTGATATTTATATATATCTATAAATTTCAAGGAAGAGGATTGCAGATCTTGCTGGAGATTTTCTACTTCCACAGGTTCTTCTACACCATCACATAACACTTCATATGTAGCAGTAGACTGACCGTCTTTGTCTTTCAGTACATCAAGCACTTTGCCCTTGTACCATTGTGTTGTTCCAGCAGCTTCATCTACACACCATTCATAAAGTATTCTCCTTCCTACAAAGGGCCGGTTTCCAAAACGGCCCCTTCTCTGATTCAAATTTCCTGTTGGTGGTGCATTGCCCATGCCGTTGTAGTCACAAATCTATAAAGTATAAAGATTTAGGTCACTTGGTTTGTTTTTTATGGCTCCTCAAAGTTGTACCTTTCAGAAGCTGTCTAAGTGTTGATAAAATGTGCATGTTATGTAAAATATTAATAAAAATCTAATCAAATGATGGTCACCGTAAAGAATACATTCATGGCATGATTGTGACAAAAAATCATGTTTCCATCGCGCCATTTGGCTGTTTTATGGAAGAAACAATCTCAAAAATGCCATTTTCGATGATAACATTTTAGACACAAAAACTGTGTTTTTTAGAGAATACACCCTTTTATGGGCGTTGGATGCAAACCAATTTTTATCCTATTAAACAGTACGTAATATGCTATTGATGAGAGGAAAAATCATCAAAATGTAAGTGGTGGAACATTTTCAAATGTTGGGTTGAATTAGCCTATGGTTGAATTGCCGATTTTCGACTTTCTTTAGATAATTAACAAAAAAACGAGAGTATTTGCTCGGTATGTTGAGAATATGTACACAGATATGAAAAAAAGTGAGAGAAACACTTTTTCATAAAAAAAATCCAAGATGGCTACTTCACAAGTCCCCGTGGTTGAAGACATTGGCTGACAAATAGACAGAACAACAAACAAAACGTGTTCCTTATGATTTTGGTTGGTTTTCGCATTTACGGGAGTGTTCATAGCTACGGGCGATTGTATAATACCTATATTTATAAGTTTGGTTAGTCACATGGTAACGGGGATCTTTCATATCGAGCCCCAAACATACTTTCGACATATGCACTCCGTTGCCGCATGGAAAACTATTTCAAGTTTTGTCGGAATTTCTTTACCTGTGGTTGTAATGGTCGAGGGTTTTCCAGCGTCCTGTAATACCCAAGGTAGTACAAGATACTGGAGATGTGCGCACACATTCCCATCGTTCTCTCTCCAACTGGGCACTGGCAGTAGTAGTCCTTTATTGGGGCCTCAACATCGGGTGAAACGGTGAACCGTATCCAAACGTTATATTTCGTTTGGCTTTTGTGTCGAGAATGTATTTGACATCGGAGAAGGTCTGGGGAGTGCTGGTAAAGCCACACCTCATAGTCTCCGTCATCACTTAAATGTTCGGCGATGTAACCAGGAGCCAGAGATATCTGATACGTTCCACACGTAATGGTTCTCAAGTAATCAAGATCGAGACGGGGAAACAGTACGGAAGATGCATCCATCTTGACAAACTCGGACCTTGCCCGTCTAGATAGATCCGGATCTGTCTTGACTCTCTGAGCTAAACCATTCGGTGTTGTCAAACGGTCCTTCATACGTTCAGCCATTAGCCTATCTTTGGCATCTCTCTCTGGAGATCTCTGGTAGATCGGTCCTCTAATACCATTCAGACAGGCTGTGACGGTTCGAAGCAAAGCCTCGATGACATTGATAAAGCTGTTAGACACCAATTGCGTTCGGAAGAACGTCCAGTGTTTCAGACGACCATGATAGGATTCCACAATCCACCTCGATTTGGTGATAGTTCTGTCAAGATTTGCTTGGACGTCAGAATGTTGACTTTGACCGGGTTTCAGGTATGACGGCATGCTAGCATTGAGGCCAGAGGCTTCGAGAACTGGTAGGACATCTCTAAAACCTCGGTCAACGACAACGTTGTCGTCTGGTTGTAGCCAAGTAACTAGCTTGTCCATGACTTTTTTTGTAATTGTAGCATCATTTTCGCTGCCAGTGAATGGTCCTACTGTGTCCAGAATGTAGCCATCTGGTAAGGCGATGCTCATGAATTTGAGATAGTTTCTCTTCTTCTGGCCACAGTAGGACATTCTCTGGAGCTTGTGGTCGGAGCTTTTCTGGATATAAATATAGGTGCCATCTAATATGGCAGTGGCTTTATCTCCAAAAAATGCTTCTGAAAAGACAGTATTGTGCCCGAGCAACTGTTCTCTTGTCAAGTGATCCGGACCTAGAAATTGTGGGACTATCGATGTGTCTAATGCCTGTACTATGGAGTGGAAAGTTTTGGACACACTTGACTTGGAAATTCCAAAAAGAGAAGAACACTGACTCCAGGAAATGTCGGTTTTCAGTTTTACCCAGAACAGTAATAGAGCATCGTGTGTAGTCTTGGTATATATACCAGATGAAAGATATGGGGAACAGTGCGAGTGGATTTCGAGGAACTGATCTTTGGACCAACCTGTCCAGGCCATGCATGCCGAGTCATCAAGAGAAGAAAAGCTTATTGTAAACGCAGACTGGTTCTGTGAAAGGACGTGCGACACCTCTAGGAGGTCATTAATGATTTCGGACGATTTTGATGGTAACTGAGATTCCAAGGAACCTCTACCATCAAGGACAACCTCTGTAGACGGATCTAAGTCGTTACCAATAAGGTGAATGGAGCAGACGCGGGATGAGGTGGGACACCACAGTTTGTGTGAATAGATCAGGTGATGTCTTGCACGTTTTGGTAAGACTGATGATTTTGTTCCATTTCTTGCAAAGGTAACAAGACAGAGACAGCATTTTTTGTGTGAAGATGATCCATTCAAAAGATCATGAAGGGTCAGCAACGGCAGGATATGGGACGGGGAGTCGTCTTCTTCCTCTATTTCCTGGTTCTGCTCGGGTTCAGGTTCAGGCTGATTTTTGTTCCGAAGATACTTCATGTAGCACTTCTGGCAAATAAGTGCTTGTTCCTTTGCTGACATCAATCCTTGTTGCACCAGCGTATCTAGGAGCCATTTATATTGTGGACTATTTACATTGCGTGCACTTCTGTTCTTATTGCCACTACGTTTCTTGAAGTATACTTGACACCCTTCTCCAACACATTTACCCTCCATCTTGAAACAATAACGATTGGTTTATGAAGCGTCGATAAAGTAACAAAATAGCAAGCCACCGATGATTGCTGTAAACAGCTAATACTTAGTAGTTTGGTACAATTATGCGAAAATGTGTGATAAATAACGAACAACTAATTACACAAAATAACAAGACAATATAATAAATCACATTCAATACCTCCAAGAAGCGCAGAATTGATTGATTACTTAGAACAAAATAAAGTATTTCATATGGATAATCTATCTATTCGATGTGGCGTGGTCGGCAGGCACAAAGAAAGTGAGACAAGTCAGGGTCCCAACCCTGACAGAGCCACAACGCTTTGGAGATGGGACAATAAAACAAGGAAAGTGAGACAAGAATAGCTAGCGTCGAGTCAATGATTCCGTAAACGTATAGACAAAGACAAGAAGATACGGATAAATGTACAAGGCCACACGATCAGAAAATTCAGAAGAGGACAACTTGAGATAGAACAGTATTCATGTATCAGGGTGTCCTCAGTGTAAATCTTTATATCGATACTGTTTATTTAGTCGTTACACATCATAAAACTGTCATGAAAATATCCGCTCTGATATTCAATATAAAAGTTTGTATATAATAAGCTATATAATAGGGTTTCAGACAAGGTTGTTACTCATTTCCCCTTTTCTTTCAATTTACAACCACATTCAGGCGGCGATATGAGAACGTTCCACCACATGGAATTAGCTGATTTTTGGTACACATATGAAACAAGTAAAGCTCTATCCGATTTTCTGATGGAAATTTGCATCCAAAACTATATAACGGGAGAAAATTGCAATTTTATGGCATTTTTCTTCATAATTGTGTCTCTGCAAGTGCATTTTCATCCGAGAATTTTTTTTTTTTTTTTTTATGAATAAACACGATGTTTTGGAAATATTTATCAAAAGAAATTTATACTATGTTGCGAATTACAATTTCGAGATAACCTTCTTTTATTTACGAACTTATGTCTTTGATGCTGAAATTGACAACTTTATAAAAATACATTTTCACTGAAATTATGAAATCTGGGTGTCGGAAAGGTGTAAAATTATTCTTCGGAAAAGAAAAAAACAGTAGTTGAGCTAGATAAGAAATTATACGGGGGCAGGCTCCTATGGAGAATTAACATTACTGGAAACAGGCCCTTTGGCACAACTCCGTCGAGTTCGGGTACTCACTCCAGATGGTCCAGGCTTTGGTGATGTAGGAGCTGAAGTTCCTTCTTGTACATGTTCTAGGGATTAAAACCAATTATCATGCTGTATTTCAAATCTTGACCGACTGGTTTCGTTTAAATTTCAAATTTACACATATAATGTAACTTCAATTACACAAGCAGCTGTGAAATTAGAAACAGAATACCTGTATCTAATGTACAATCAACACATTTGGTCATTTACACTCAAATAACAGTGGATAGGTTGAGGAGCACGGGTACTTTAAGAAAAGCACCGACCTGTGGCAAGTAAATAACACCTTTCTCACATGGCCCAATCCAGTGTACCAGAACTAGTTCACACAACCTCTTTTTAGGTCCCTGCATCAGCTATGTAGGAACCCTATAGTAATTCTCTGTCTTCTTGCTTTTGCATTATATTCATGGAAATGAATTGGGTATCCACTTTAAATTTTACAACATGATTTCCCTCGGACTGTGGTAAATTTTCGGGTCGATCAGTTTCAAAATGGCCGCTTATCAGCCATCTTGGATTGTGACAGTCAGAAGTTCAAATCTTGTTTTCTCTTATTTGGTAAACATTTTGTTATGACACTATATAGTAAAATTGGTCACAATCAAACAAATACTAAAATGACCATTAATGTTAAGGTAATCGAATCAAAATTCAAGGTCAGATTTTATATCTGTTATCTGGTAAATATTTGGTCATGACATTATGAAGCAAAAATGGTCGAACTCAAACAAGGTACAAACTTACCCACACTCAAAGTAATTGGGTGAAATGTGAAGGTCAAATTTGGTATCTCTTCACTTAACTAAACTTAACTTGACCTAACACAACATAATGTAAAATTACCTTGTGGTGTTGTTGATGCAGATTGTTTCTTTTGCTGTGAAGACTTTCCTCTCTTGCTGCTATTGGTAGTAGGGGAATCAAACTGAAACAAATTAGAAATATTGATATATTTCAGATTTAACTTACATTTAACAAAAATATTACATTGTGTATGAACATCATCATCTGAAAATAAATAATTACATAAGAGTTTACATACATTTCTAGTTTCAAAATATGTAAGCAGATCAAGACAAAGGATATCGATGATATTTCCTTGATTAAGGGTGAACAACAGAACAAGTTAACGTGCACCAGCTAGGTATAAGGTTGTAACAATAACCACTACACTGCATGTGGTTTTTCGCTACAGGATTCAATGTTTGTGTAATATTTACATGTAACTCACCCAAGGGAGGTGGGGTTCACGTATGCCTGTGCTTGTATGTTCTCTAGGGTGAGCTAGTTCTGGCAGCATTGCTTTCATATAGAATGCGCGAAATCTGGTTTGGATAAGTGCGTCTAACTACAAAGTCTAACCACGGCATTTTTATCACATTGAGTTGGCCTTGACATTGGTAGAAGTAATTATGTTTTCTCTTCATTGTTGTAGCAGCTTCCATGAAAGTCAAGGTGTTTTTTTGCAGCAGGTTTTTGATCTCCAAGAGGCCACTAGGTCCTGTTGAAGGTATAACTCTCCAATCGGAACTAGCACCAAGGTATTTGTTGTCCATGTCAATAACAAGACCTATTTTCTCAACTTTAACCACTTCCTGATTTTCATCCTTTTTCTGTATATATTCCTTGATAGTAGGAAATTCGGCATTCAATCCAAACATGCTAAACCTTGTTCCTCGAAACGGAGGGTAGATCAAGAGCGACACAAGCGGAGCAACTGGTCTTTTGGGATTTCTATGTATGATTTCACCAAAGATGAAAGACGTCAGACGTCTTTTTCTCTCCTCCTGCCAGGTAACACTGTGGCTCTATGCTCGGGTTACTTCCTCTATCATGGTACGTACAATGAGGGTTATCTCTTTGAACTTGGGTTTTCAGGAACCTGTCACACTTTAACTTCAAGTCATCTTCCTCAATATCAGGGACATCATCATTAGCACCAGCTCCATAAGACCGCTTAGCCTCCTTGGTGTTGTTTGCAGCACCTGACGCTAGTTTCCGCTTTCTCTTACGAGCTTGGACATCTAGTTTACCTTTGGATTTGATGCTACGCAGCAACTGTAGAGATCTTCGCCTGTACAGATTTGTGAATGAAAATCCAGGTGATACACTTGTGCTCCTGTGCCATCCAAGGGGTGACCAAGCAGGTCCAAACATTTACCTGAGTGCTCCTCCATAACAGCGGGAGTGCCAACTTCCTCAATTGCACCGGTTATAAATTTTCCCACCATCAAATTTGCAGCGGATGGCCATCCAACTCTCGGCAAGATTTGTGGTAAAATTACCCAGCAACCTCCTACTCTTGCTTGCTATTCTGTCTAGATGAACACTTATGTCTCGCAACATAACTGCCTCCAAAGAAAATTAATCACTTACACCATACCTGCTGTCATCCGTATCTTTCTCAGATGTTCCATCTAACCACAAGTTCCGCTGATCGTCTATAAGGTCACAAACAGTATCAATGTCCTCTGTAATACCTTCTTCTGAACTGGATGTTCCACAAGTGGTTGTTGATGTTGGGGTGGACTTGGATGACACATGTACAGTTGATGTGCTTGTTGGAGGGCTCCTTGACTTGCAAAAGTCACTACAATGTGAATGGTCACCAAAAACATGATGGACGGAGTTGCGAACATCATGTTCTAGCTGACACGCTGCCTGAATCTTGTCCTCGTCTTTTGATCGAAGTCGGATGGCACATCTTACAGCTGTTGTCAGTCTGACTCTCATAAATTTGGTCAATCTACCTTTCCCCTTGTATGCCGGCTTATCTACCACCAACTTTTCCAAACTTGATCTAAGACATTTACAAATATGATTTGGACATTCCAACTTCGAAACCTCTCTTCCCCAAATAGGAACCCACTCCTGGATTGTAGCGGATACACTGCTGTCACCATCAGCAATAATGCGCATATATCGTACTCCATGCGTAGACTCCGCTTTCAAAAAGCCATCTAATATAACATCCACCTCCATTGACTGGCTACTGCTACTCCAATTTCGAAAGCACTCGTGTTGTGCTGGCTCCTCATATCTTGACTCAGCAATTGTACATATGTAGCAGTGCTTGTTTTTGATCCCGACATGAAGCAATTTCCCTGTGGCTGCACCAAAGATGACCCCTACACCACCTAAAGCATTGTATTTATGCTTAAGTGTCCGCTTAGACCATCTACCATCACATATCACAGTTATTGCTGGTACACCGTCGTGCAAATCTCCCCGTTCAATGGCAAGTCTCCGTTCTTCAACACCTGCAGCTATCATATCCTCCTGCAATCACTTGTTCCACATTGACCCTATAATATGTTCAATTTGGGAAAATGTTGGTTGTGAAATGCCTGGAGCATTCATGGTTCCAAATAATCCACTGAGGTTTGAAGCTCCGCCACCGGTAACCATTGCTCCCCATACTGCTCGCAGGTATACATGGAAAACTGGAAAAGTTTGCCACAAACACATGACAATTCAAATACACTTGCCATTCCACATTTAGGTTTCTCCCACATATTAGAAATCGGTGATTTACCAGTCACACTTATTTCTCCTGCAGCAGTACATGTAATTGTGTGCTGAACAACATCTGAAAAGCCTTTCTGTAGAAGACCAAGGTTGAACCACCTATAACCATCAGGTGCAAGCCTATCTGAGGAATGTATGTACAGTGTGGGGTTTTGTGGATGAACCACAGAGTGCAATGTCTGCCCTGGAGATGAAAACCTTGGAAGTCTTTTAACAACAAGTTTAGCACTTACTTGTCCATTAAGGATTTTCACAGAGTGCTTCAGTTTGTAGGGTTTACCCGCTCTTGGCTGGGACATTGACTCTAACCGCCTTCTAATATTTTCATTGGCTTTGGCATACCTTCTAGTGGCTATCTTACTGTGTCGTCCTGGGGCACAATTAAACCTTACTAGTCTCCTTCACTGCAAATATTATCCGAATGGCATAACAGCTTCTTAGCTCACACGCATATGTTGCTTGGACATAATGCTCATTTAAATATCATTCAAGGAAGTGCAAAATATCTTGAATTGAAATTGAACGCTGCAACAAATTCTAGTCAACTGAGCATGATGAGCACATGGTCGACGGAACTACTCTCATATATATAAATCATTACACAGGTCGTGAAAAGGTCCAACCAATACCAGTGGTCATTGTGTATAATATTGCAAGTGTAGTAATATGCCAAGAAAAATATTCTTTATAATATAGGTCTAATTGTAATGGTCAATATGAAAAATATGTAAGACATACCAAGTAATTATTGGTACAAATTTTGGTCGGTTTGATACATGTAATGTTGTATATCATTCTATCATCCCACAAAGCCTCCATACTTAAAACATCGTGTATCTATATATAGCTCATTGAGCTATCTTGAAGTAGGCTTTCCACAAACCTGTGGGAGAGTTGATTGTACAATAAAGACACTCAATGGTAATTTAATCATGAGTTATAAATTAAATTTATTGTCTCAATGAACAGCTCAAAGTTTATGAACAATTTGAAATTGAGTAGACCGGTCTGAAAACGACTGCTTATTTTTATGCAGCACCGTTTAATAATCCTAAAATAAAATTTCCCGCATTCCCGCGTGATCAGCCAACACGGGCATTGATAGTGAAAAGAATTCCACATTTCAAAGTTTGTAAACAAATCGTGTACATAGATCTCTCAATGAGTTATTTGGGACACAATGATAGGGCAATAATCTCATTTTGCATTTTGTAATCGATTACTTAACAGCAGACTAATAAAACATCGGAGTTCGTCTTCGTTTCTCTTGTCAGCTTAAATGATTGTACAGGAAGTGACCGAACAACATATTACATTTTTCCCATGTGCTACGCACAAGAAATAGTTCGCGATTCCACACCAACATTGTATCATTTCAATAAAGAATTTGCGACGTTATGATTTTAAACAAACATGCATTTGCATTTGCATATCAAGTAAACTATCAACAGAAACAGTTATAACATATAACGTGCAGCGAATGGATATTGTGAAAAAACTGTTGTCGGCGCCATTGCCGGTGAATCCAAATGAACGTAAACAATCCTGGTGCAGTATGATATATTTCATCCTGTATATGAAAATCAACTCATGATAGGACTGGCGATTTCGGGTATAACGCATCCTAGTGAATTACTTAAGTGGTTTGCAAGATATGAGCATGTTGTTTTGCTGCTTTCTTTCAGATCAAGTTCGTCTACAAATGACAGCCGAGAAAGCACTGACAAGACAAGGTTCGACATTACGATGGATTTTTGCAAAATATTTTTTTCACAACAACTGTACCCGGTTCTTCCAATCAAGCGCTCAGCTGCAATTACTTAATACATATATATTAAGGAGACCACAACATTTTAACTGTAGAATGCTAGAATCTAATTTTGCAAACCCCAAACATTTCGAAAACGACTCTTACGTAACATTTTTATTTGTGTCGATAAAAAGAGCATATAGTCTCCAAATTTTCCTACTTTCCTTTACATTAAAATGAAGTTATTGCAATCTGCATTTTGGGAACTTTGGAAGCCATTGTGCTGTTACAAAACCCTTAAATGATGACATGTGGTTCCAGTTCCAGTTGATACAAGGTGAAAGGGGCGTTGTCCACATATAGCAGAATCGTCCGTTAGGAGTAATCTACTCGTATATTCATCACAAAAAATACAAATTTCGCTACGTCAAAATGAAATGAAAATATCAGCACGTGCTTCAAAAACATATCACACATTTCTACAATTGAATACTTTTTGTGCGAAATAAACATACATAAATTCCTCCAGAGAAAACATGAGATTGTATATTTCTATATATGTAACATGTAATNACTGTCGAGTCTGTGTCTGGTTTTAAACATGTAACTGACGGGTCTGTGTCTGGTTCTAAACATGTAACTGTCGGGTCTGTGTCTGGTTCTAAACATGTAACTGTTGGGTCTGTGTCTGGTTTTAAACATGTAACTGTCGGGTCTGTGTCTGGTTCTAAACATGAAAATGACAGGTCTGTGTCTGTTTCTAAACATGTAACAGACAGGTCTGTGTCTGGTTCTAAACATGTAATGACGGGTCTGTGTCTGGTGCTAAACATGTAACTGTTGGGTCTGTGCCTGGTTCTAAACTTGTAACTGACAGGTCTGTGTCTGTTTCTAAACATGTTACTGTGGAGTCTGTGTCTGGTTCTAAACACGTAACTGACGGGTCTGTGTCTGTTTTTAAACATGTAACTGTCGAGTCTGCGTCTGGTTCTAAACATGTAACTGTCGGGTCTGTGGCTGGTTCTAAACATGTAACTGTTTGGTCTATGCCTGGTTCTAAACATGTAACTGACTGGTCTGTATCTGGTTCTAAATAGGTAACTGACAGGTCTGCGTCTGGTTCTAAACATGTAACTGACTGGTCTGTGTCTGTTTCTAAACATTTAACTGTCGGGTCTGTGTCTGGTGCTAAACATGTAACTGTTGGGTCTGTACCTGGTTCTAAACATGTAACTGACTGGTCTGTGTCTGGTTCTAAGCTTGTAACTGACGGGTCTGGGTCTGTTTCTAGAGATGTAACTGTCGAGTCTGGGTCTGGTTCTAGACATGTAACTGTCGAGTCTGTGTCTGGCTCTAAACATGTAACTGTCGAGTCAGTTTATTGTTCTAAACATGCCTCCAGAGAAAACATGAGATTGTATATTTCTATATATGTAACATGTAATTGACGGGTCTGTGTCTGTTTCTAAGCATGTAACTGTCGAGTCTGTGTCTGGCTCTAAACATGTAACTGTCGAGTCAGTTTATTGTTCTAAATATGTAACTGACGGGTCTGTGTCTGTTTCCAAACATGTAACTGTCGAGTCTGTGTGTGGTTCTAAACATGTAACTGTCGTGACTGAGTCTGGGTCTAAACATGTAACTGTCGAGTCAGTTTATTGTTCTAAACATGTAACTGTTGGGTCTGTGCCTGGTTCTAAACTTGTAACTGACGGGGGTGTGTCTGTTTCTAAACATGTAACTGTTGGGTCAGTTTATTGTTCTAAACATGTAACTGTTGGGTCTGTACCTGGTTCTAAACATGTAACTGACTGGTCTGTATCTGGTTCTAAATAGGTAACTGACAGGTCTGCGTCTGGTTCTAAACATGTAACTGACAGGTCTATGTCTGGTTCTAAACATGTAATTGACTGGTCTGTGTCTGGTTCTAAGCTTGTAACTGACGGGTCTGTGTCTGTTTTCAAACATGTAACTGTCGAGTCTGTGGCTGGTTCTAAACATGTAACTGTTTGGTCTGTGTCTGGTTCTAAACATCGAACTGAGGGGCCTTTGACTGGTTCTAAACTTGTAACTGACGGGTCTGTTTCTGTTTCTAAAAATGTAACTGTCGAGTCTGTGTCTGGCTCTAAACATGTAACTGTCGAGTCTTGGTCTGGTTCTAAACATGTAACTGACAGGGCTGTGTTTTGTTCTAAACATGTAACTGACAGGTCTGTGTCTTGTTCTAAACATGTAACAGACAGGTCTGTGCCTGGTTCTAAACATGTAACTGTTGGGTCTGTGTCTGGTTCTAAACATGTAACAGACAGGTCTGTGCCTGGTTGTAAACATGCAAATGTCGGGTCTGTGTCTGGTTCTAAACATGTAACTGTTGGGTCAGTTTATTGTTCTAAACATGTAACAGACAGGTCTGTGCCTGGTTTTAAACATGCAAATGTCGGGTCTGTGTCTGGTTCTAAATATGTAATTGACAGGTCTGTGTCTGGTTATAAACATGTAACTGTCGAGTCAGTTTATTGTTCTAAACATGTAACTGTTGGGTCTGTGCCTGGTTCTAAACTTGTAACTGACAGGTCTGTGTCTGGTTCTAAACATGGAACTGACAGGTCTGTGTCTGGTTCTAAACATGGAACTGTCAGGCCAGTGCCTGGTTCTAAACACGTAACTGTCGAGTCAGTTTATTGTTCTAAACATGTAATGACGGGTCTGTGCCTGGTTCTAAACACATTACTGACAGGTCTATGTCTGGTTTTAAACATGTAACTGACAGGTCTGTGTCTGGTTCTAAATATGTAATTGACAGGTCTGTGTCTGGTTCTAAATATGTAATTGACAGGTCTGTGTCTGGTTCTAAATATGTAATTGACAGGTCTATGTCTGGTTTTAAACATGTAACTGACTGGTCTGTATCTGGTTCTAAATATGTAATTGACAGGTCTGTGTCTGGTTCTAAACATGTAACTGTCGAGTCAGTTTATTGTTCTAAATATGTAACTGACGGGTCTGTGTCTGGTTCTTAACATGGAACTGACAGGTCTGGGTCTGGTTCTAAACTTGTAACTGGCAGGTCTGTGTCTGGTTCTAAACATGGAACTGACGGGCCTGTGACTGGTTCTAAACTTGTAACTGACGGGCCTGTGTCTGGTTCTAACCTTGTAACTGACAGGTCTATGTCTGGTTCTAAACACGTAACTGACAGGTCTGTGTCTGGTTCTAAACATGTAACTGTTGGGTCTGTGTCTTGTTCTAAACATGGAACTGACGGGCCTGTGTCTGGGTCTAACCTTGTAACTGACAGGTTGTAATGACGGGTCTGCGTCTGGTTCTAAACATGGACCTGACGGGCCTGTGACTGGTTTTAAACTTGTAACTGACGGTCCTGTGTCTGTTTCTAACCTTGTAACTGACAGGTTGTAATGACGGGTCTGCGTCTGGTTCTAAACATGGACCTGACGGGCCTGTGACTGGTTCTAAACTTGTAACTGACAGGTCTATGTCTGGTTCTAAACATGTAACTGACAGGTCTGTGTCTGGTTCTAAATATGTAACTGACGGGTCTGTGTCTGGTTCTAAACATGTAACTGTCGGTCTGGGTCTGGTTCTAAACTTGTAACTGACGGGTCTGTGTCTGTTTCTAAACATGTAACTGTCGAGTCTGTGTCTGGTTCTAAACATGTTACTGACGGGCCTGTGACTGGTTCTAAACAAGAAATTGATGTATATGCCTCTTGTTCTAAACATGTGAAAGAGTGGCCAGAGTTTGGTTCCAAACATGTAACTGATTTATCTGGTTCTAAGTACGCAAGTAATTGATCTTTGTGATCTGTACCAACTGAAGCAGTACTTAAAACGTCCAAACATGCCTTTTCAAATAACCTTGCATGTTGTATTTGTGAAATATAATCTTCTTCATGATCAAATGTTTGTAAATGCCCATGGAGTAGATTGCGTTTCTCGTCATTAAAATCTTCTAAAATTGTTCCCTTTTCATGATTTTCCCCAATTGGTACTTCGTTGATATCGTCATAAGAGTTATTGCACTCGATACCTAAATCCAAATTATTTTCCGTCGGCATGCTGCTGTCATAGAAATCACAAGTGTCTGTTTCTGAAGTTGTTACACTTCTTATCATTGGACTGCCTATGTCACGTGGTCGCCTGTTTTTACCACAACGACGATTTGTCACTGCCCCGACGTTTGTATCGATGACACGTGTTGACTCTCCCATAGGTAGAAGTGGATTGTATTGTTCTGTAAAAGAATTATCAAACTGCTCATTTCTTATCACATAGGCTATTCTTGAACCTTCGGGCACTGCCTGGTCCTGAAAGCTTGTTGTTTGACCGGAACTTGCGTCGTTGTCTCTTACCGCATTGCTGTTAGAGCTACCTATTTGGCGATATTCTGTGATGTCTGAAACACCGCTATTTTCCGTAGCATCGTTATCAGTCACAGGACAATGCGAGGAAAGGCGGGAGTCGATAGTGCCGATGGCATCCCATTGACAATAAGACCCTTCTCCAATCGTAGTATTGTTTTGGGTGATTCCAGGCTGATAATCAGCTGCAGAGTCGCTTGTAGAAACACTGCTGTCAGTGTGTTTGACACGCCCATCATTGTTCCTGCTTCCATGTGATATGCACTTCTTGGGGATAGCGATCATGCTAAATTCACACTTGTTTGGGGCTGTTTCACCGCTTACTCCATTAGGTGTTGCCTGGAAGATGTTATCTCCTCTACCGTCTACTTGTTGACTTTCGAGGCTACTACGCACCACACCACTGTCTGAGCTATTTCTCTTAGAGGCTGCCAAAAGAGATGGCGCTGGTAGAGGTTTTCGTGGCTTTCCCAAACCTAGAATGTAAAAGGAGAATAACTTGATTACGTTCGTTAGGTAAGGGTTATACAATGCGTTCATAATAATCTTTTGTTTATTTTTTTATTTTGTTTTTATTTTTATTTATTTTACTGGTTTCGTCAATGAAGCAGAATACGCATACCCTTCTGGATCACCTGGTCGTATTGTTCTGGTATTTCTTCAAGGGTCATGATGTCAATATTTCCTTTGTTTATTTTTAACTCTAGCTTTGTCGAATTTTTAGTTTGCATTATGGCTTTGTTGACTTTCCGGTATTATAAGAGCCGGTGATGTCCTTGATTTAAAGTTCTTGAGGGTATATTCTATATATGTGGTGGCCAATGCATATCTTGTTATCAAAAGACTTAGGCGCGCGATCTTGATCAATATTTGGTATTTTTAGAATATGATTAAAATATTTGGTATTCTTACCCCCATTTGACAGTGCGGTATTCCCCTTTGAAGTTAATCTAATACCATCGTCCTTAACAGCATATCTGTCCTGCTGACGAAGAAAATCATTGTATTTGAATACTGTTTATGCTCGCATGTCTTAACAATGGCTTACAAATGTACCATTCATTATTCAAGTTTTTATGATGACCGTAAAATGTCACTATCAAAGTGCATCTAAAAACCTGTAATATATTATAATACGAGAATGTAAAAATAAATTTTGATAATACGTTTGAATGTAGCTCTTGCTCAAGCAATACGTTATGAAGATAAAAAGAGTACCATTTCTTGTCATTGGAAATTTCACAAAAGATCATTAAATCATTTTTGAATCAAAAATAACTATTTCACAATTCATCATTGTATATGCCCTGTGTCTCTTGGATAAATTATCATGTGTTTCCTTGAATTTTGTCTTCATCATTTTTTATATCAAACTACTGTATTATGAATGAAAAACAAATTCGCCATTTCCCTATCATGGCTGTTTGATATAGAACTATAAATGTATCGATTTTAGGGATATTAAACATATGTTTATGTCAAACACCTATCACCATATCTGTATATTATTTAACACCAATCATCATACCTGTGATAAAACACACACATTGCACATAGTATTACGTGTATGTCTTAAGGTTAGAATATTACCTGTGACTGTGCTTCCATGAGTCTTTGATCCTCATCGCTATAATTATCGATGACTGGAACTTGCACCTTTACATCCATGGACTTATACGTGTGGCATACACGCCTGAAATGTAGAAGTTAGAAACATATTGGAACAGGTGGTAGGAGAAACAGATGTGAGCATTCAGTTTCTTTTGTATTCATATTAGAATATCTTAACCAATCACATATTATTCTGTATGTTTTCAAGTTAGAGGCTGTAATGAATCGTATAATGTTTAATATGGTACATATTGTACATTCCATGTGTGATTGTGATTAGATTTATTATTTGACGCTCAAACATATAAGCCAAGTTTAAATGGACCTCAAATAATGGAGCGGATGCGATTTCAGTTTTTCCGTGGTACAACAAGTCTAAGATGAACTTCATCTCGATCCCGATTTACCGGTATGTTTAACTCATTCACCCCTGAAAACACATTTCAACTCTTCCAATTCAAAGGTTGGAATAGTTCATTATGGAACTTCAGGGGTGAATGACTTAAATGTGAGACAGTTCATTAAAATAGTCAGATGCTTTCAACTCACTCAGGATAATGGCACGCTGACATTCTTGATGCCGTGAAAACAGAACTCAACGAGGGGGATTCTGACGATATTGCCACACACTAGTTTGCTTTCGCCTTACTTAGGTTATTCGGAGTAACAGTCATTGATTCACACATGACTACAGAGAAAAGTTTTAATTTGCAGCAGATAAATAAAATATTATTAATTACGCCGCAAAGCAGACATTATTTGACGAATGATGATAAATCTGTAAACACGGGCACGTAATACTGACACTCTCGCCACGGGTCTCCTAAAGTGTAAATCACTCATGGGGTGTTCCCTGGGGGTCTTCCCCGAAAACCAACTCTGCTTAAAATCACATGTTTACATAGGTGGCCAGTTGTGATGATAGTGAGTTATAGTCTATTGCAGAAATGGTGTACAGGTAAATTGCACAGGTAAATCAACTTCTGGTAAGTAATCAGATAATCAATAACTGCTAATAATTGCAAAATAATAATTAATATTTAGAACAGTTTTCAGAATTATTCATATATTTATTATGATATATTAGTTAAACTTTTATTTTTAGATTTGTGTGAATGCTCTTATAATTATTGTCATATATTAGTTAAACTTGTACTTATTTTCACATTTCTATGAATTGTGTTTAACTTGTGTGACTTCAGTTTGATATTAGTATCTGTTATGTTTTAATGCAAATACTTCCTCGGCTATCATACAGAATGTTTTTTAACCCAACTCTGTAGACATAAAAAGGGTCTGTAGACAAGGGGATCCGGTATCATCTTACTTATTTCTTTTGGTAGATGAAATATTAGCTATCGTTGTAAAAAAACAATAAAAACTTTAGGGCATAAACACAAATAACAAAGAACACGGGCTCTCACAGTTCGCTGATGACACATCCGTTATTTTAAATGGCACAAAATCTGTATGTGATATAAATATGCTAAAATATCAGGGTTAAAAGTAAAAACTGAAAAAACTAAAATTTACCCTACTTGGGATTGATTTCTCTGTCAATTTAGAAAGTTACTGTAAATTTCAACAAAATTATTAGTATTATATATGGCAAGTTACATCAATGGTCAAGAAGAATTTTAACACCTATAAGGATAATCATAATCATTGTAAAAATGAATAACCTGTTTATATCTCTACCTACTCCAATTAAAGACATAATTCAATCATTGAACAAAACAAAAAATTATATTTTTGTCTGGCAATCACCAATTAATAGAATAAGAGGCCCATGGGCCTTAACGGTCACCTGATATATTTATACAGAGAGTTGATTTTGTTTTTAACATGAACAGAAATATTATTCAAAGTGACAAAAAACAATAAAACCACCTTACTCAATATCTAGCATACAGATTTCAGACTAAAAAGGATTTGAAACTAGCACCTCTGATTCTTAACAAGGAAAATGAAGAAATTTTAGCACACTGACTCCTTTGAGCCCCACCCTACAGCCCTTGGGGGTAGGGCTGGCTCAAAATTTTCAAAGTATCAAACTGTCAATTCAAGGTTATAATTCCAATCAAGTTATTAACATGTAATATTCAAAGTATCATTTGCCATTATAAACCATAATAAATTTTGCAAGAATTTTTCCACTTAATCATTATTTGAAAATAATTGGAATCAAACAATGTGATTTATTGATTTATGCCAAGAAAGCAAACAAACTATAGAACATCTTTTTTAACAGTGTTAAATAACAAATAACTTCTGGCAAGACATACGTAGATGGATATACTTAAAAACTGACCAAACATTCGAAATAAAGGAAGATATTATACTTTTTGGCAAAACTTCTGAATTCCAAATATCCATTCCAACTAAAATCATCATGATTTATGCAAAATTCTTCATCTACTTTAGCTCCAGAAAGGTTTACTGTTTATATTTATGTTTAATAATGGCTATCTTTTAGTGCTATATTAAATGTGTATTACTGTTATATGTAGGAATAGAAACTCTAGTTTATTGCTGACATTAGTATCAATGTGGCTTAAATTATGGAATTTTGTTTTTCCTATAATGTAATGTTATTCTTTATATATTGTAAAAATTAATATTTAATGATTATTTTCTATTACTTAGTTCTGTGTTAAATGTGTATTACAGTTATATGTAGGAAATAAAAACTTGTTATCAATTCTATTATTGACTTTAGTATCATATCTACAAAATGAGTTGACATTCTTTGTTGAAACAGGCTATAACTAAACTTCAAAGGATTTCCTATATAAACACCTTCCTTTCAATTCTCCAGAGTTGGTGTTCGGGGAATGAGCCGTTCCCTGATCGCATACATATTTAGGACAATCGGTAGAAATGTCATACAGATGGACTACCATGACTCGCTGATCGTAATACCAGATCTAATTCAATATGTTCGAATTGAGTACTCTTCTAAAACATATATATCCATGTATGTTTGAGTTTTCATTGCTAATTGTTGGATTTGATCCACCTGTAATTTAACAGGGGTATATCGGGGTTATACAGTATTTGTTATTTTTGTATGAGAGAAATTTAATCAAATATATATTAATTAATTTGTTTTCTGATGCAAGTGAATTAATAAAATTTATACTATTTGATGTGTTTTCCAATTAGTCACTAAATCAAATGAGAGTCACTGAATCAAATATATACTATTTATTGTGTGTAACCACAGGACACATATTCTAATGCCTAAAGTTTTCTTCAATTGTTCTGAATAAATACATAAAAAAACTCACCATATTATTACTGAAAGGACCACAAGAGTGATTACTATTGCAAGCGTTATGCTTATGATTAAAGCAGAATCCGACGTCCTCGCACCTGTGTAAACAGAAACAAAGTATGACCAATAATCAATTCGTACAAAATAAATAATAAAGTGATTCTGGCATGCCGTATAGATATCATTTTACAAGAGTGCAGGAAGTACCGATATCTTATTAGTGTACATATTTGGGTGGTGTACATTTGACAGAATGTTTATCATAGAGTTAAGATATTTGGTTGCTGTACATTTGACAGAATGTTTATCACAGAGAGTTAAGATATTTGTGCTGTACATTTGACAGAATAATTATCACAGAGTTAGGATATTTGTGCTGTACATTTGACAGAATGATTATCACAGAGTTAAGATATTTGGTTGGTGTACACTTGACAGAATGTCTATCACAGAGTTAAGATATTTGGTTGGTGTACACCTGACAGAATGTTTATCACAGAGTTAAGCTATTTGGTTGGTGTACACTTGACAGGATGTTTATCACAGAGTTAAGATATTTGGCTGGTGTACACTTGACAGAATGTTTAGCACAGTGTTAAGATATTTGGTTGGTGTACACCTGACAGAATGTTTATCACAGAGTTATGATATTTGGTTGGTGTACACTTGACAGAACGTTTATCACAGAGTTAAGATATTTGGTTTTTGTTCTCTTGACAGAATGTTTATCACAGAGTTCAGATATTTGGTTGGTGTACACTTGACGGAATGTTTATCACAGAGTTAAGATATTTGGTTGGGGTACATTTGACAGAATGTTTATCACAGAGTTATGATATTTGGTTGGTGTACACTTGACAGAACGTTTATCACAGAGTTAAGATATTTGGCTGGTGTACACTTGACAGAATGTTTACCACAGAGTTAAGATATTTGGTTGGTGGACACTTGACAGAATGTTTATCACAGACTTAAGATATTTGGGTGGTGTACACTTGACAGAATGTTTAGCACAGTGTTAAGATATTTGGTTGGTGTACACCTGACAGAATGTTTATCACAGAGTTATGATATTTGGTTGGTGTACACTTGACAGAATGTCTATCACAGAGTTAAGATATTTGGTTGGTGTTCACTTGACAGAATGTTTATCACAGACTTAAGATATTTGGTTGGTGTACACTTAACAGAATGTTTATCACAGAGTTAAGGTATTTGGTTGGTGTACACTTGACAGAATGATTATCACAGAGTTAAAATATTTGTGCTGTACATTTGACAGAATCATTATCACAGAGTTAAGATATTTGGTTTTTGTTCTCTTGACAGAATGTTTATCACAGAGTTAAGGTATTTGGTTGGTGTACACTTGACAGAACGTTTATCACAGAGTTAAGATATTTGGGTGGTGTACATTTGACAGAATGTTTACCACAGAGAGCTAAGATATTTGGTTGGTGTACACTTGACAGAATGTTTGCCACAAATGTTTGAGGTTTAGTTGGCGAACACTTGACAATGTTTACCAGGGGAAGTTTTGATGTTTGGTGGTGTACACTTGACAATGTTTACCAGGGGAAGTTTTGATGTTTGGTGGTGTACACTTGACAATGTTTACCAGGGGAAGTTTTGATGTTTTGGTTGTGTACACTTGACAATGTTGACCAGGGGAAGTTTTGATGTTTTGGTTGTGTACACTTGACATAATGTTTACCAGGGGAAGTTTTGATGTTTGGTGGTGTACACTTGACAATGTTTACCAGGGGAAGTTTTGATGTTTGGTGGTGTACACTTGACAGAATGTTAACCAGGGGAAGTTTTGATGTTTGATGGTGTACACTTGACAAAATGTTGACCAGGGTTGATTCTGATATGTTGGTGGTGTATACAGAATGTTTGACACAGAGTTAATTAAGATGCTTTATTTGTGTTCATTTGACAGAATGATTATCACAGAGTTAAGATATTTGGTTGGTGTACACTTGACAGAATGTTTATCACAGAGTTAAGATATTTGGAATGTTTATCACAGAGAGTTAAGATATTTGGTTGGTGTACATTTGACAGAATGTTTACCACAGAGTTAAGATATTTGGTTGGTGTACATTTGACAGAATGTTTACCACAGGGAGTTAAGATATTTGGTTGGTGTACATTTGACAGAATGTTTACCACAGAGAGTTAAGATATTTGGTTGGTGTACATTTGACAGAATGTTTACCACAGGGAGTTAAGATATTTGGTTGGTGTACATTTGACAGAATGTTTATCAGAGTTAAGATATTTGGTTTGTGTACACTTGACAGAATGTTTATCACAGAGTTTAGATATTTGGTTGGTGTACACTTGACAGAATGTTTATCACAGAGATGAGATATTTGGTTGGTGTACACTTGACAGAATGTTTATCACAGAGTTTAGATATTTGGTTGGTGTACACTTGACAGAATGTTTATCACAGAGTTAAGATATTTGGTTGGTGTACATTTGACAGAATGTTTACCACAGGGAGTTAAGATATTTGGTTGGTGTACACTTGACAGAATGATTATCACAGAGTTAAGATATTTGGTTGGTGTACACTTTACAGAATGTTTATCACAGAGATAAGATATTTGGTTGGTGTACACTTGACAGAATGTTTACCACAGAGAGTTAAGATATTTGGTTGGTGTACATTTGACAGAATGTTTACCACAGGGAGTTAAGATATTTGGTTGGTGTACATTTGACAGAATGTTTACCACAGGGAGTTAAGATATTTGGTTGGTGTACATTTGACAGAATGTTTATCAGAGTTAAGATATTTGGTTTGTGTACACTTGACAGAATGTTTATCACAGAGTTAAGATATTTGGGTGGTGTACATTTGACAGAATGTTTACCACAGAGAGCTAAGATATTTGGTTGGAGTACACTTGACAGAATGTTTATCACAGAGTTAAGATATTTGGAATGTTTATCACAGAGAGTTAAGATATTTGGTTGGTGTACAGTTGACAGAATGTTTATCACAGAGTTAAGATATTTGGAATGTTTATCACAGAGAGTTAAGATATTTGGTTTCTGTACATTTGACAGAATGTTTATCACAGAGTTAAGATATTTGGGTGGTGTACATTTGACAGAATGTTTACCACAGAGAGCTAAGATATTTGGTTGGTGTACACTTGACAGAATGTTTATCACAGAGTTAAGATATTTGGTTGGTGTACACTTGACAGAATGTTTGCCACAAATGTTATGAGGTTTAGTTGGCGAACACTTGACAGAATGTTTATCAGAGGAAGTTTTGATGTTTAGTGGTGTACACTTACCAGAATGTTAACCAGGGGAAGTTTTGATGTTTGGTGGTGTACACTTGACAGATATTAACCAGGGGAAGTTTTGATGTTTTGATGGTGTACACTTGACAAAATGTTGACCAGGGGTGATTCTGATATGTTGGTGGTGTACACAGAATGGTTGCTACATTGATGACATAAACAGTTACGTTGTAAGACAAATTATGTACAGACATGATTTTCTCATCAAACGTAAACTAACCAGGTAATTTGAGTGGTTTCCTCCATTTGACATCACTTAATTCGCTGGCCCCGACACTCGTCCAGATCCTCATACACACCGAATACTGAGCCATGGGGTCAAGGTCAGGCAAAACAATTTCCTGGACACGTAAGGTCGCCGTCACGTTAAGTGAATGTGCCCCTGTAGATAATAGTAAATCATATCATTCCCACAATAAGTTCTTAAATATTTCTTTTTGTCTTTTTACTTTATAATTATTAAGATAACAGGATAAATTGTCAGGATAACTTGTAGTTCGTATCAGAAAACTACGTTAGAACAGATATAACCTGTAGTTGGTATCAGAAAACGACGTTAGAACCTATATAACCTGTTGTGCAATCTCCCTCTGTCTCCTCTGTTGTTACTCTGTAAAACACTTCATATTGGTCCGGTTTTCTTAACAGGAACTGCGCGTCACAGTATCTGAAGGTGAAGGACACGACGTCTATCGATTTGACGTCACCATCTCGGGCCAAAAGGTTGAATGACGGCTTCACTGATCCTATGAAATTTAAAAGCAGTTATCAGAATATGTTAAAAGGAGAGTGGAATTCTTATGTTTAAATTTGATCATGGGATATTATTTAAAAAGTACATGGATACATATCAAATATTTGTTTCGATCCAGGATTCAGAGTATTGTATCATGTGATATTCGCATTAAAAAGACACTAAGAATATCTGTTTATTGTATGTTTTATTCATAAACACTATGGAATGAATTAAAGGTAATATCGGGCAAGAAACCAACAAAAAACCTTATCTTGACAGTCTGTCTAAAATCCAATTTTAAAAAACAATCTAAGAATGCCTAAAAAAATATTTTTTTAAATGATTTGATATCTAATTATCTTTCAATGACCTTTGTAACTATTTATTATGTTAATGACAATAAGTATTACCGAATGATGAATCTGGGTTTCTTTTCCCTCCCGCTGTGTGTTCCTCTTCAGTGCTGTCGTAAAGGAACTGACAATCATCGAACACCATGCCACCGCTCACCCCCTCGTCTGTTGTAGACGACACCGCAAACATCCAGTCCCGGTAATACGAATGGGTCAGGTTTAACATTGTTTCGGTCGCATCTCCAGGTAATATCGTCCATGACAAATTACTCTGCAGAAAACATATTTCTAAATTGGTGATACATTTTCAACACGTAAAAACAAAAGAAATCTCGTTTTCTTCTTATAAGATATGTCTATAAATCACATTGGGTTTTTTCCTGACAGTATATACAATGTAGTACTGTGTCTCACTGTAAAGTCATGTGTCTTGTCCTGTCTCAATTTAGTAACACGTGTCTTGTCATATCTCACCGTAGTATCGTGAGTCTCGTGTCTAACTGTAGTGACAAGTGTCCTGTCGTGTGTCATTTTAGTAACTTGTGTCTTGTCGTGTCTCAATGTAGTTCCATGTGTCTTGTTTTGTCTCACTGTAGTACATAATGTCTTGTTTTGTTTCACTGTAGGTTGCAGTATACAGTAGAAATGGCCCGACTCTGATAAACAAGGCACATGTCGAGGAAATGTAAACACAGCGGATTTACCCTACACAACACATGTATACATGTATATATATTTGTAAACTGCATTACATTTACAATACATATAAAGTAATGAGAAGTGTATAAACCCCTTTTTTCTATGTATGTCACTTGTGTGAAAACCACGGTTACCACATAAAAAAATACCAAAAAATGCCAAAAATTGCTATTTTTGACCCAAAAATTGACCCCCGCAACTAGTAAATTTTTTCCTAAGTTCTGTCTGAAATTAAAGATTACCTACTTGGTTGCAGAATTATCATGGTCCCAGTAAAGTTGTCAAACTTGATTTTTTGCACTTTTGTTTCGTGTGCTGTTATCAAAATTTTACCTCCTGTAAAGCTAGCTTTTCATGTCTCGAACCAAAAACCTTTTTTTCTTTTTTTTTTTTTTTAAACAAATGTGAAGCTTACATAGCCCACTTCATCATGCTTATACCAATTTTAGTACATTTTTTTTTTTTTTTTTACATATCATTATACAGGGGCTAGCCATTTAACAAAAATATCACCCATGGCCACAACCCTCTACTGTAGACTGCTACCGTAGTACATAATGTCTTGTCGTGTCTCACTGTAGTACATTGTGTCTTGTCGTGTCTCACTGTAGTACACTGTGTCTTATGTCTCACTGTATTACACTGTGTCTTGTCCTTTCTCAAAGTGGCGCCTTGCGTCATGTCATGTTTTTCTGTTGCAGCATTTTCTGTCCTGTCTCACTTAACTATCCCTGTACCAGTGCCAAATACTGTAACTATATTCAGGAAACAGTTTTTCGAGTACAACTATGTCTTCGATTATTAATTTCTGAAAGAAAACCATAACTTGCGGGAATTTTACGAAAAATAATAAAGATGAAATAAATAAAATATAATCAAAAATAGTTTTCTTAGTGTAAAAAGGATAGTGGGTCTTGACCGGGAGTCGAACCATTAATTGTAGCTATACTATCGCTCTAACCGAATAAGCTGCCCGGTCGACGTAAATGTGCTGGCCCAACTGAGCTACATGCATATTTAAAACTAAAGTAAGGGGAGGTTACTAAAGCAAAAACACAGTACTTCGGGAAAGGGATGTGTCATGTGGGGTCCCCCTAACTGTCATGTATCGTTGTGTCTCACTGTTTCATCATGCACCCTGTCGTGTCTCAGAGAGGTATAGTGAGTCATACTGCGTCTCAGTGTATGTCTCACCGTGGTACCTTACGTCATGGCGTTTCTCCTTGCGCCCAATTATCCTACTTTGCTCCTATTCACTTACCTTACAAACAGTTAATTCCCTGTTTCCTCTGCACCAAAATACGGTGACGTTCTTTACAATTGTCTGAAACTGTGCATCACTCAACCAGGATACTTTGACAGCGGTATCACCATATCCTTCCGCAATGACTTCCGTGGCATGAGGAAAGCCTAGCGCAAACAATTTATCAAACAATACAAATAATACTCCACACAAGCAATTGATTTTGAATACTTAATAGATGTATATTTATGTCTTGTATCTTCTACTGATAAGGTAGATATGCCCATTAATTGACAGTATTGGCTTACCAGTGTCGATATCCTGAGCAAACGAAGGAATATGGATTACTGTACGATTGTTTGAACACAAATCGTCTTCGATACACGCCTGGACGGCTATATTGTAGGGTCTGTCGTTCCAGCAGGATATGTCGCGGATGGTGAGCGTCGTGAGAGGGCGCGTGATAAGCTGATTATGCGTGTCTCCCTGGATAGACACGGAGTAATACATCCCAGCTAGCTTTCCGTTCCGCTTCCTTTGTGGGAGTGGCTACTCCAGCGCGACATAAAAAAAGAATATGTTGCGTTTTTAATTCTCCCTTTCACCTGTTGTATTCATGGATCATTTATATTTGTTTATATCATAAGATAACAATAACACTTTTTTATTTCTAACAATGAAATACAAAAATTGTTAGGGAGCTCCCTACACTAGTTGTCCGTTCCTAAAGTAAGGTATAATAAGTTTTTCGTTCACACTTTTTCTTTTTTGCAATAAATGTGACTATTATTATATATATGTAATATAAAAAGTTTATAATCTCTTTACATGTATATTGGTAATGCATTAATAAGCGTTTAAAAATATCAACCGTCTAATCATTTAAAATAAAAACTTCTCAACAACACGTCTTTAGCATTTTCATATCTTCAAGGAGATTCTTCAGATTAAACATAAAAATGACATATAAACACACGTGACGTACGAAGACAATTTTATGACTCGTGCCCTGTCCGGGCCTCGAACTCACGACCCCTGGCATCTAATCGCCAAGTCAAGAAATATCTACAGTTCGTTTTTTCTACAAAATATTTTTTATTATCCCATACATTAGGCCTCGGGGGTTGGGACCCCTGAGGTTCCGCACAGTACAACAACTACACATACAATACCTACAGCTCATATCACTACACTACCGTTTGATTTGGTTTGTTTGAGTTTTTAAGGACGTGCCAGGTTTTGGTGGTGGAGGAAAGCCGGAGTTCCCGGAGAAAATCACCGAACTACGGTCAGTACCTGGCGACTGCCCCACGTAAGCCTCGAACCCACGACCCAGTGTTGGAGGGCTAGTGGTACCTGAATGACAGACGCCTTAACCATCTGGCCACCTCGGCCCCCTCTACACCACCGCACCTCCTTAATAATAATAAAAAAGTTTCGATGTTGCAGTGGTCAATGGCCAGATACTCTCGGCTCTCGACATGGTCAAAGTGACAAATCGTCTATGATAATATGATTACCTTGATCGCAATGTCATCAATAGACAACTTGGGTGATAAAACGCAACATTGTTCTCGTATCTTATCTTTGGTTTTTGACATAATTTTTCGGCAGGTGTGCTTTATCTATCTTTTCGGAATATTTGGAAATAATCAACGATTATTATTCTTGAAGTGAAAACATCATAGTCTTTATTAATATTTCAAAACCAGAAAGAAAAGTTTTGGAGTACTTTTGTAAATTACAACGCAAAATAAGCTAAAAATATGTGAACAAGTTCTCGATCTCAAAAATATGTTTTCAAGGTCACACCGAGCTTTTAAAAACCAAACTAAAAAGGAAACACCGTGCAAGGCCAATAGCATGACGTTTGACTTGAAGGATCAGTTAGAAGAAAGCGATTTACGTTTTATGACCTTTAACCCTGTGACCTTGAGGGTGGTTAAGGATGAGCTGCATCTGACAGGAGTTATTATAATTATTATCGCTTTTTATTAATACATGTATATGCTACTTTATATGCTACTTTAAATAGCTGATTTGTGCTACTTTCGCTCCAAAAGGAAGAAATTTAATACTTATTATTTATCTTCCGTTTTGGGCAGAATGAGGTAAGAACGTAAACTACGAAATGCTTAATCTCCTCTTTGTCAAATCATAATTCCTAAATGACTAAAGCTCGAAATGACAGGGATCAGTCACCGTATCTAAGACCCTTATACAATAAACTACGTGAACACTACCTAAAATCTACATCTTTGCCTCTGAAGTTGATGGGTGACCGGCGCCGTGAAGTCGCATAAGCTCACTCTCAACTAAAGAATCATGAAAAACAATATGAAATATACCTTGAGGTAGATTTGTAAAGCACAGTTATCGCCCGTGTTGTTGATGCCAGGTCTGGACAGGAAGTACCCTCCTACCGTATACTTCGGGGCCGCACTCGGGGCTGTGGAGGCAAATAAAAATAGGCACGGTATGTAATACATTGAAGACACCCAAATGTCTCCGTTGGTGAAAACGGTAGTCAAAACACATTCAACTAGTACAAGGGTGGCCGGGTGGTGCATCGTGAAAAGGTATGGGGTCACCTGCCCGACCACGTGGGTTTTCTCCGAGTTCTCCGGTTTCCTCCCACATTTAGACCCTCCGCGCGCTAACATCCGGGCTAACAAGAGAGATTAATATAAGTTGAAATAACTTGTTTCATATCTGTTGTAAAATAAATAAATTTTACATAAAAAAAACCCACTAGAACAAGGTCTGAACGTCAATCTGTATAAAATACAACAAAAATGTCCAGACTGGAATATGTAATGTCTCTCATAGTCTTTTAGTCAAACAGTATATGAAATTTCTTAATATCGAGTTTCATTTCCGTTATTATTATTATTTAAGCGTTTCTAATGTTAGATACAAATCAACATGAAAGTCATTTGTGTTATTGCTGCGAAAGATTTAAATCAGATTTTTTTTGTTACATTGAACCCCAAGAAAATCTTTGGCTTAGTGAAGCAAATAACATTCAAAACTAGATACACAATTTCGTTTTGCCAAGGTTTCACTTTTTTTTCCATTATCTGTAAAACCAACCGTCTTTATCTGTGTGAAACGAAAGTCTCTCCACTGGAGTCCAGCTTCTGTCATCTGTGACCAATCGACCTCTTGCACGAATAGACACGTAGTATTTGGTATATGGAACAAGTCCCACCAATTCCGTTCTCATCCTTTCCTTGGTACTGTACAACAGCTGAAACAAAATTCTATTTTAACATCGGAACAACTTTTCACGTGTAAAGATTATCCGATTTAAGATATAATGAAGGATCTAAAGAAAAAATATATAAAAGTTGTTGATTCGAAAGAAACATATCAGAACGCTCAACATCCTCTCTTCATATATATATATATCAGAAAAATATGTGTGAAAATATAAGCTGTATTGGTAACATGCAAAAACATAGCGGCTTAAAAGAACCTTACGCGCATCTCTTGCGTGGTCACTATTTTGCAGTCACACACACTGTCACCCGTTGCTAGGGCGTTGGGAAGCAACCTTTCATTGACTCAATGTTAAAACGAATGTGATAGTGTGAAATGAACAATTTGTCTCGACCAATCAGATTACAGGATTTTCACAAGAGGTATTAGATGCTTACCATGCTTATTCTCAAGTGGCCATTGTTTTTTCGTACAATTGTTAACTAACGATAGAATGGTATATTTGCTTATATAAAGCAGAAAAATCTGTCCATGTGATCATTTTAGTGGCACGTTTTGTCCCGTCGGTAGTCAGCTCATGAAACAAGCGAGAGGAGGGGCTGCTTAAAAACCCATGCCTGGTCACTTTGGACAATTTTTTATCAGCATGTATAACAAAAGGCACAGAAAATCAAGTTTCTTTTAAAATAAATGAAGGATATTTTAGTAAAATAGGTATAAGGTTAAGGCCGTCTAAAGCATTTTTTTCGAAAACAATATACACGATATTAAATGGAAGCCATTGTTTGAAATATTCCGAAACATGTGTAGAAATAACGCAACTGATAATTTATTCTTAAACCAGTATGTTATCAGTATGTTATCGGTCTGTTATCAGTATATTATCAATATGTTATCAGTATATTATCAACAAGTGATCGGTATGTAATCAGTATATTATCAGTATGTTATCAGAATATTATCAGTATGTGATCGGTATGTTATCAGTATATTATCAGTATGTTATCAGTATGTTATCAACATGTGATCAGTATGTAATCAGTATAGTATCAGTATGGTATCGGTATATTATCAGTATGTTATCAGTATGGTATCGGTATGTTATCAGTATGTCATCAGTATGTCATCAGTATGTTATCAGTATATCATCTGTATGTTATCGGTATGGTATCAGTATATTATCAGTATTTGTTATGTAAGTCGTGTCGGAAAGAATGCAGCCACAACGTTACGCCATACTTTACTTTACCTGTCTTGGATGTCGGTCCCACCTCGATGTGTAGTTGATGGCAAAGTCAATCGTGAATATCCCCGGGAGAACGTATTCCGGTAACTCCCAAGTCAGGGACGCCGTTCTACTAGTGATACTGGTCACACTTAAATGGTACAGCTTCGATATAGTAACTGTGTGGAAGAATAAGCGCGTGTTTTTGTTTTTGTTTTTTGGGCATAAAACAATAAAAAAAATGTTTACAGCAGACATATAGTAATATACGTATTCAATAAATTTTCAATTAAAAAAACCCACTATGTTCTCAAAATATAATAACAACTTACCAATCGTGGAACTATCGTTAATGATCTTTATTGCCTGGCTGCTCCCAAGTATGTTTCGCACCCTGGCCCTGACGATATACCGCTCCAGTAGGCTGAAATCGTTGAGAAAATCTATCCCAGAGCTATCCGTTTCGGCGGGAGACCTCCAGTAGCAGGAATAAGTCTGAGCGTCGTAGTGGAGACATTTAAGCCATTCTGTAGATCTGGAACAGGAAAACATAACCGGGATTTGCCATGCCTGACGTTGAAAATTATTTTTCTAAGTCTATGATTTTCAAGTTACTCTTATAATGAATTTTTTTTTAAATAAACAATTAAATATCTATATTTAATTGCATTTATGATGTGTGCTTGTGGTTTTAATTTTGATTTAATGAAGTGTTTTTTACATGTGCTTTATTTCAAGCGTGTGGCTTGGCTACACACGCTTGGATATGCAAATTAGTCACGCGACAACATGATGACGCCTGGCGGAAGTTTCGGCATATAGGTCACGTGACTCCAACACAAAGACTGAGAAGAAAGAGCAAAGGCTAAAGGTAAAAAGCCATTTTTATTTGCATACCCACCACCTCCGCTGTCTCCACTAGGGTGAGATTATGTGGTATTCTATGTAATTAATTTTAACATTGCCAGGATATTTTTTCTCATCAGCATTTTGTTATCAATTTGCATTTTAAGTCATGTTCATTATATTACCTCTCTCTGTTATGAAGGTTTAATCATTATGTAACAGTGTCTATGTAAGGCCAGATATACCCTCACCTACACTAGTCTAACTTGATTTTACATTACTTTGGCTAATACGTAATGTTACGTACTGTTATATGTACTGTTTTTACGTAACGTCATATGAAGTTATGTAATGTCGTTATAATAAACGGCCATTACAATCACAATTGTTGTTGAGTGTTTTGTTGTCTAGCGTACAAGCTTGCAGTCTTGACGTCATACCATGTGAACAAGCAGCATGGCATAAAAAGTTGTATGCATGTTTCCTTGTGAATTCACCGTGCTGTGATATCGGCCAAGCGGAATAAATTAACTCTTCTATTATTTGTTAAATGTATTTACCAAACGATATTGTATACGAAATCAGAATCACAAAGCGCGCTGTTTACCTGTCCGACTGAAAGTCGATGGTGACATTGTGACCGAGCTCGGACCTGGCATCTCTGTCTGCTAACGTCACGGTGCAGTTCATGTCGAGGTGGTCCTTTGAGAAACAGTATATATCCTTCGGAGGTGATGGCCGGTCTATAAAACAACATACACATTACTACAGTCAAACCTGTATTGAAACACCGTCCGCGGAAAGTCTAAAGGAAAACCACTTCACTAAGATGGTCTCTTAATAAGGGTTCAGCTCTCAATGAAATAACTACAATGGGAACTACAAAGGTCTTAGCGGTAACCTAAGTCAATTATTAAGCAGAAGAAGAATTTTGAAATGTGTGCCAAGTTGGAATCATTTCCACACGAAAATACATGAAATATATGCTATTTCCCTATAAAAACTATAGTAAACTTAACCCCTCCCCAGTGTAGAATGAATGACCCAGGGATATCTAAATTTACAATTTTAATAGAGCACTTTAATACATATCCATACATCTAGAGAATTTGATTCTAGGACTTCTGGGTCTAAAGAAGATTTTTTAAACTTTTACCACAGTTCCCCATTTTGAGCCTGTCCCTCCGTCCCATGGAGGGTTTAGGGTTTAAATTTTAATATAATCAAACTGCCATCCACTGATGAGTATTCCAACCAAGTAACAATCAATTCCGCACGATAATATACAAACTATACTCAAAAGTGTTATTTCCTAATATATACTATAGTAAATAATTCCCCCTCCCAACGGGGAAATGAATGACTCAGGGGTCATGAATTTATAATTTTGATAAAGCACCTTGAGACATTTCCATCAATGAAGTATTTGATTCTAGGACTAAGATTTGTTCTCATATTAAGCAAATGCACCTTCTTAGCCCCGCCCAAGCCCTCTATGGTGAAGAAGAAGAAAAATCATTTTTACAATTTGATATCCTCTACTACCAAGAATTCCCCCTACCAAGTTTGGTTGAAAACCATTAATTGGTTCTTGAGAAGAAGCCAAATATGTAAAAAGTTTACGCACGACGACGGACAGAAAACGATCAGAATAGGTCACTTGAGCAAAGCCTCAGGTGACCTAAAAACAAGCCAGAGGGCTATAAGTATAACTACTGTGTATCTATTTACCTAGATGAAATATAAAAGTATGTAAGATATTAACAGTCCTTGAGAAATTGATCGTTTACTTTTTTATATTCAATGGCAGAGATCCTTGATGGATGAGACAAACCGCATTATTTCGATTAACATCGAAAATTAAACAAAAAAAGAACCCAATGTAAATTTATGTTATTTCTCACTCACAGCCTACGCGGAGGAACAGGATTGACATGGAATCAGGATCGGGCGGGAAATTACACGTGTAGGTCCCCGTATCCTCTAAGTGGAGACTTTGAATAGTTGTTCGGATGGTTGTAAGGTTGACAGCTTCTGACGACAAGAGGAAACACTTCCTGTGCCTACAGCGCTCTATAGACAGGCTATCGGATGAGTTGTTCGAAGTAACACCCTTATAGGAACAGATTAACTCCAGGCTCTCTCCAACAGTCTTGTACAGGCTACCAGACGGCTCCAGATCTGTTTGTTATATATAAGAAAATTAACACAACTTATCAAACCTAATATGTATGAGTATTAAGAAATTTGACGAACATAGGACTAGAAGTTTCGTAGAAAATCCGTGCACAAGTCCATAGCAGAAGAGTAAAATTACCAGAAAAGCGAAAGTGCAGTAGTACAGCATCAACACACAGGGATAAGATATATAACACGGTCAACTCACAAAGCCAAATTCAACGTAGCGTCAGCATACGAGGAAAGAATATACCGATAAGTTCAAATCACAACAGCAAACTACGAGATATCGTCAACAGACAATGAAATGATTAACGTTAACGCCAAAAACTTAACCGGAGGGCTACCAAAACAAAAGGGAATTCAAGTATTGTCTGATGTTAATTGTAGGCAATAACTTGTACATAATTATTGTTGATAAATACTGAGCGGCGTCACATTGGCATTTTTAGGCTAAATAAATCCCCAATGGAAAAATGGCAACACTAACTTTAGCGCATTTGAATGCTTACTGGAAGAACGTCGGTACTTTTACATGCGTTTATAGTAATTATCAGAATTCAGCAAAGTTAAAATAAGTGTTTGCATCGTGTATGATTTTTACTGACTATAACAACCGTTTTCCAGTGAAAGGTAGTGGTAAACAACGGTACAATTAGCACGTGCCGATGTCAAGCATTTCTGTCATCAATATTGCAGGGAGTCCGCTAGAGCTTCATGTTTAGTGTAGATGAAATCGATCTTATGTTTATAATTGATATGTACACGTGTATTCCCTCACAATCAGCAGTCATAAAATTGCCTAACGTCATCCATTGATAATAACCTAGGTCTGACATAGTCTTGGTAACACCATATCTAGATTTGATCAAAACCCGCTTTCTTATTTCTGGCAGCAAACATTTACTGTTGTTGTTGGGAACGATTTGGCATTCTGGTTCAAGTGTGAAGGGTATGAAGGGTATGCCTACCGAATGAGGCTAGTTTGGAGCGGTCCCACGTAGTAACAAGGAAATTGTTGCCGAATGAGGCTTGTTTGGAGCAGTCCTACGTAGTAACAAGGAAATTGTTGCCGAATGAGGCTTGTTTGGAGCAGTCCTACGTAGTAAAAATTGTTGATGAACCCTAACGGTGCTATCACAGTAAGAACTTAACAGCCTCGGTAACATGAGTACTACATCTGATATAACGGTGTCAACTCTCTACTGCTCTGTTCCACACGATTACCTCCTTTCCGTGTATAGTCTAATTAAATACAGCATAGCAGATGCACTGCATGTGATATTAAATACGAAAGTTGGCTCCCGTGTGTCATATTGGCTGTTTATGCGTGGTGTTGTGATCTGTTAGAGTGCGCTGTATGGTCCAACACCGCCGTCCTCAGCACTATGGCTCCCGTGTGAGAGCTGCTTGCAGCATGCTACCCTGGATACCCTGTACTCACCTGTGGTAATGCCTTCATAAGATGATCGTACAGGTGTGAACATGGTGATGAGAAGAAGTACAACAGTTACATGTAGGATCACCATCATGGGTAAACGTTTGGACTATGCTCGGGGAAAGGTATATCCAACAGCATTTAACAACTACGTCCACCTGCTAATTTACGTCCAGGTAGCATTCATTTTACCACTAGTATATGCATCAACGAACATCCACCAGCATGCCTGCTGTACCCGTCACATCAGTCCCACGGCATCGACCCGTCTAACGTATTTTCATGCTGCAATTAGAATACCTCTGATCAAAACAAGCCAGAAAAAAGCATCGATTCCAATATGTTGCGTAGAAAACGGTTAAATATACAGTTACAATGACGCCATAGGTTTTGGTATTTGATTAATAAGTCATTATTATGTCCCGGTTATAGTTGGTTTGTATCCACACTTTGTTCTAAGTATGGGTCCTGTGAATTCAACCATAGACGTTAATGTTCGTATTCCATATTAAATTGAAAACAAACTCATCCAAAAGGTTTTGTACTTTTATACTCGTTTTATTAATCTCATATCAAATGGAAACTCAATTTAGATCCATTATACATAATATATGATGCGTGAATTGATTTCAAAAATATACATGAATTGAGACCTACGATACTGAATGCACACTTAATGCCTTCCAATGAGAGTATGTTACGTTGCGTGTGACCGTGCGTAATAACAGTCACGTGATCGTTCAATTAAAAAGTTATTCCATGGTCAAATGACTATTAATGAAAAAATGATTATAATAATAAAAAATGAATGAATATATAAGTTTTGATTGTCACTTAAAAACATTAATGCTAGATCCCTAAAAATATCTCTGCAAATGAACACAGCATCATAACACTATCATTAAGAGAACGGTGAGCCATTACAACAGTTTTAACTTTCAGGTTAAATTTTGTTAAAAAGTTAAGTCAAAAATATGTTTTAAAAAATAACTTTTTTCGAGTTTCACTGAATAGTTTATAGTTTTAATACTAGATCCCTATCAAAAAACCTCTGTGCAGAGAACTAGCATCAAAACACTTCAATTAATTGATCAGCCTGCAATACAAAACTTAAACCAGAATATTAGTTCAACACGTGTCGAAAATCGAAATAAAACAGAAACCTTTTCAATCAACAGCGTTATGCTAGAAACCTTAACAAGCTCTTTGCAAAGGATCAGCACTCATTCATCATTTTTAAGTTAATGGTAAGCCAATACAAAACGTCAACTGCAGATAACGGACGGATGGACAGAAAATATACCACAACATCACCTAAGACAAAATAACCACACCATCACCTGAGACAAAATATACCACACCATCACCTGGGACAAAATATACCACAACATCAACTGGGACAAAATATACCACAACATCATCTAAGACAAAATGAACCATACCATCAACTGGGACAAAATATACCACAACATCAACTGGGACAAAATATACCACAACATCATCTAAGACAAAATAAACGACACCATCAACTGAGACAAAATGTACCACGACATCACCTGGGACAAAATATACCACACCATCAATTGGGACAAAATGTACCACAGCGTCAACTGGGACAAAATGTACCACAAAATCAACGAAGACAAACTGTACCACAGCGTCAGCCCACAAGGAAACAACATAACCCACCGGCAAAAAATCTACTATCGGGTCAATAAGTTAGGACAAAATCTACCGCAAGTAAAAAATACGACATTGTAAAACTATTATGAAAAATATATCATAGTCACAAATACAAGGAAACCACAGCACATACACAACTATGAACGTAACACACAGGTGAGTGCATCCTTTAACGTTTGTAATACAAAATCTACCGCAACCGGTACTACCAATCAATTCAGTGTGCCGGAAATGAATTGCACTGCACCATACGGTTGTTTCATCCGTCTAGGACTCGCCAGTGATTCTAGGGGCCAGAAAAATGGAAATCCAAAATGGTAAACTACGATAGAAAGGTGGGAGCATACAACCCTTAATATTATGAATTTTAAAATCAAAAGAAGTACTGATTAATTTACTTTACGTAATGAGTATAGTGTGTTATACATGTACTATAAGCCCACGAAAGTGATTACTGTGGCCACATCATGGTTAAGGTAAGCGTCGGGGAATAAGGGATCCAGCCACAGAGTCTTATCATCTAACAGCATGAAAGAAGACAGGAGATATTACTGTGTGAACACCACGGAGACAAACCACTAGGATAAAATACGTGATATCAGCGTCACAAATCAAGGACAAAACATACCACATGGCAATGTAAATTGATATTAGACTTGTAATTCCGCTCCTCTGCCATACACCTCCAATACATGGAGTGTGCCGTAGATGAGCGGAACAACAAATCTAATTTTAATTATGTTGCCATCTGGTCCACTTAAGTGAACACAAATTTTACAAAATAAACAGGAGATACTAGAAGGGTTTTGGCACCCATCATGAACGGATTTTTATCAGATCTACAAAAAGATGATATTTTACCTTGTTTGCTCTTCATTTTCTTTACATGTACTATTACCAAGTGCCATGTTGGAAAACCGCGTAATGTCATATGTTATTTGCCTCTATGCCAAAAAAATGTGTTATAAGAATTGTATAACTATATGCTATAAATTGTATACTATACATTTACAATTCTTACATAATAAGAAGTGGTGTCAATGGGAGATGAAATCTTATCAAGGTCAGGGGTATTCTTTTTAAGGAGACCAATAAGAACATACATATAAAACGTAAGACAGATCAATCCAGTACTTCCTGAGAAGCTCACAAAAAGAAAACAGTCCTTAAAATGGCCACATGTCGGTAATTTTGTTTTTGCTAACAAGTCTCAAAAACCACATTCTCGACTAAAGACCGAGGGAAACAAATCTTAAATGTCAAAATTCAAAATGGCCACCTGTTAACCATATTATTTTCCGAAAATCTCAAAAGCAAACATGCACAACTAAACACCGGAGGAAAGGAACATAGTAATAGTAATAACAAACTTAAACGTTCAAAATCGAAGATGGCCGCATGTCGGCCATTTGTTTCCCCGTTCAGTCTCAAAAGCAAATATGCATAGCCGGGACCAAGGAAACCAATATATGAAAATTGAGTAAGATTATTCCTCCAGCACGTTCTAGAGAACTGTATCTGGGTGTACAACAGACCACGGGCGAAGGGTGATTTGAATAACCCACCATTTGCTGAAGATGGGCTAAAATATCAGTGTCAAACACTGGAACACAAAAAGATCAACTTTTCAATAGACGTAAATACAAAATGGATAGGGAAAAGGAATTGTCTACAAATAAACGACAAATTGTGATAAATAATAGGTCCCCATCATGCTGTTTAAACACGGAAATGAAACAATAAAATCTGAAATGCAGGTGATATGGTATGAAAAACTACAAGAAACCTCGTCTGTATAATTATATTACCGGCAAAAAAATACAAACGTTACCAAACTATATACTGTCTACTGCCAAAAAAACGAAACGGTTGATTTCGTGAAACTTGGTTTAGATTTCATCAATTAACCCTAGATCTTTTCGCTTGAGTAACAAAGTTTGAACTAATACAAAGTGTCTAAGTGTAGTGACTACACGTAACTGACTATCACAACATCAATTGAGTATCTCATACAGTCAGGTAATCCATTGTAAACATTGTTTATATTCCTCTACTATATATCTGACAGGTTATCTATTGTAAATAGTACTTACCTACCTAACTATATATCTGACGGGTTATCTATTGTAGATAGTATTTACCTAACCAAATATATAGCTGACAGGTTATCTATTGTAGATAGTACTTACATATCTAACTATATATCTGACAGGTTATCTATTGTAGATAGTACTTACCTACCTAACTATATATCTGACGGGTTATCTATTGTAGATAGTACTTACCTAGCTAACTATATATCTTATATTTTATTTATTGTAGATAGTACTTACTTACCTTGCTATATATCTGACAGGTCATCTATTGTAGATAGTACTTACCTACCTAACTATATATCTGACAGGCTATCTATTGTAATTAGTACTTACCTACCTAACTATATATCTGACAAGTTTTCTATTGTAGATAGATCTTACCTACCCTAACTATATATCTGACAGGTTATCTATTGTAGATAGTACTTACCTACCCTAACTAAATATCTGACAGGTTATCTATCGTAGGTAGTACTCACCTACCCTACCTATATATCTGATAGGTTATCTTTTGTAGATAGTACTTACCTAGCTAACTATATATCTGATAGGTTATCTATTGTAGATAGTACTTACCTAGCTAACTATATATCT